GAGGAGGAGGAGGAGGAGGAGGAGGAGGAGGAAGAGGAGGATGAGGATGATGATGATGATGATGATGATGATGATGATGATGATGATGATGATAATGAACATTAATCTGATAAGTAGTTTTTTTCTTTGTCGCCATTGGCATGTTTTGATGGGAGAGGATGGGTGCTAGTTGGTATGTGACTGCATTTGCCTTTTGTATTCGTGTTTCATTTTTCTGTTCATTTTCTCGTCTGATGTAATCATTCTTCCAAGGTATTTGAATTCTTGTGTGTGTATACGTTGCGGTTTTGTTGACAACAATATTTAAATCTAATGGAGTTTGATTCGTTGGGTGTAGTATCTTTGGTTTTATCCCCTAAAGCACTGTATCTGTGTGCGGGAGTGCGTCTCTGAATAGACTTTCCTGAGTGTTCGCCAGAGACGTTTCCGAATATCTTCTGCCGGTCTTTGTAGGCCTACACAAGAGACTGGTCGTCAACGAAGAGCAGTTCGGTAAGTTGTTCTGAGTTGTCGTTTGCTTCTTCTGTTATCTTGACAGTGCAGACAATGATGAGTAATGGTAAGAGGAACAGCCTTTTTTCTCATTATAATTGGTTTGTCTTTAGCAATAAATAACCCAAGGCCGACCTGCAGGGCCTGACAGTTTCACCAGAGCCCCGTTGGCTGACGACGTCTCAGTCTCAGAGAACCCGGGTAGACTTTCTCAGCCAGCGGAACGCCCTAGTGACATCAGCCGTGCCGTGCTTCACTCGATCCAACAATCCCATAATTTGTTCTTGCTTCTGTCTTCCTCGAGGTGGATGTAGGGCAGGGGGTGGGGAGAGAGAGAGAGAGAGAGAGAGAGAGAGAGAGAGAGAGAGAGAGAGAGAGAGAGAGAGAGAGAGAGTATTCTATTGTAATCTGCTCATAATCAGGCATTTTGTTTTCAACTATGTATTTATATTGTACTGATTTGATTTTTTTTGGTCCATATATATCTACATGTTATCCCAGTAAAGTCTGTCTAACTGTGTGTAATCTTTTTAGAAGAGATTTTTCTTAAAATCTTCTCAATTGTGCATCTTATGTCTACCTCACCTATTCTATTGTATTGGGCATCCTGTCGAGATGTGAAAGAAATGGCAAAATACCTTGAAAAAAAAAATACAATAAAGAAGAGACCTAACCCTGACCCTAACCTTGACCAGTGTACGAACATCTGGGAATAGACACTCCACATCTATGAAACGTTTGGAAACTATCGGAGAAAGTAGATGGTGGTCAAATGATACTGCCTTGAAGATTTCTGGTTCATTTAGAAAGCCAGTCGGGCTGCTTTTCGTAGAATTTATTACCACACTAAACACCATTAGCTTCTGACAAAAACCAAAAGTAGTAAAATAACTGCTAAGTGCTAAGGCTTAGATGAAAGGTTTTACTCTCTCTCTCTCTCTCTCTCTCTCC